CTCATTTTAGGTAGCCAATGTCTAAGAAAGCTGGACAGTGAATAAGGAAGACTGTAGAAGAATTGATGCATTTGAAGTATGGTGTTGGAGGAGAATATTGAAAAAGAATATTGCCAAAAGAACAAACAGATCCGTGTTGGAAGAAGTGCAGCCAAAGTGCTCTTTGAAGGCCAGGATGGCCAAATTTCATCTCTGATACTTAGGACATATTGTCAGGAGGGAGCAGTCGCTGGAGAAGGATATCATGTTTGGTAGGGTGGAGGGTCAGAGAAAAAGAGGAAGATCCCCAATGAGATGTATTGGCTAGGTGGCAACATCGATGAACTCAAGCATGGCAAAAGGAATGAGGTTGGCCCAGGACTGGGCAGTGTTTTGTTCTGCTGTGCATAGGGTTGCTATGAGTTAGTACCGACTCGATGGCACTTAACAACAACAACAACAATGTCTAAGTTGCCCATCCCTATCTACCTTGTGTACGGAGGGAATAACACTGATACTTGATGTGAAGACTTCTTCCCTCTCTGTTGGTATTTAGAGTTACTACCTCTACGAGTATAGGTCAAATTCATCAAATTTAAGTAATTTATAATTGTTTCCTTTATCAAAATTTGTTTTTTGCCTTTCTCTAGTCGAGTTCTGATTATCAAGCCATCGAGGCTAGGTCAAATGGGTACTATCTGTAAGTTTGGGTGTTCTTTTGCACCTCCCCTCACGTAATATCAGCTGCATGATTCACTCTCAGCTCTAACCCTCTATGCCTATGTCCTTGTCCATGGGTTCCAGTTTCTCCAGGTCTCACCACACTTTGGACTAACCAGCCCTTCCTCTTCTCTCTCATCTCCAGGTCAACGGGAGTCAATGGACTGTTCTCACTTTCATAATAAGACAAGAACAGGCAAATGAATTGTTTCTAGGTGCCATCAAGTTGGTACCAACTTACAGTGACCTTATGCACAATAGAAGAAAACACTGCCTGGTCCTGCCCAAGCTTGCAATTGTTGCTACGCTTGAGCCCATTGTTGCTGCCACTGTGTGAATCCATTTCATTAGAGTCTTCCTCTTTTTCACTGAACCTCCACTTTACCAAGCATGGTATCCTCCAGGGACTGATCCCTCCTGATAACATGTCCGAAGTATGAGAGATGCAGTCTAGCCATCCTGGCTTCTATGGAGCATTCTGGCTGTACTTCTTTCAGCACAGATTTGTTTGTACTTTTGGTGGTCATGGTACTTTTAATATTCCAACCCCATAACTCAATATATATGTTTATGTGTTGTTGCTAAGTGCTGTTGAGTCGGCTCCAACTCAGGGACCCTGCATAGGGTTTCTGAGTCATATGTGAATCTTCACTGGGGCAGAAAGCCTCATCTTTCTCCCATGGAACAGCTGGTAGTTTTGAACTGCTGACCTTGAGATTAGCAGTCCAACTAGTAACCAGTACCCTACCAGAGGGAGTCCTGGTGTGGCACTGTGGGATAAAGCACTGGGCTGCAAGACCGCTTTGAACCACAAAGTCAGCCATTCAAACTTACCTGCTGCTCCTGTGAAACCCTATACAGGGTTATTGTGAAACAGAACTGACTTGATGACTTAATAACAACAGGACTGGGAGAGAAGGAGGTTATTGCTTATGGAGTATTGAGTTTTGATTTATATTTTTAAGTGCCATAGAGTTGGCTTTGACTCATAGTGACTCTGTATAGGGTTTCTGAGGAGCGGGTGGTAGGTTTGAACTGCCGACTTTGTGGTACCAGTCCAATTCTTCAATTTATGGTGATGGATCATTTCGTTGATTAAGGATAAGGTTGTACAGCTGATTAGTGTAATTGCTACCAAGCTATACATCCATAAAAGTTAAATTGGCAAAAGTTGTGTGATTCATAGATGACAGTGACCAAAAAAAAAAAAAAAGTAATTGCTGAGGCTGTTTGCAAACAGCTAAGGAATTTGGTTCTTTGATTTGTAGCTTTTTGCTATTGTGAATCGTGCTTTGGTGAACATGTGTGTGAGTGTATCAATTCCTGTTGTGTCTCTTATTTTTATCAGATGTATACCAAGTAGAGGAATTGCCGGGTAATTTAGTATTTCTATTTCCCACTATATTCCAACTCTTGCAGGCTCCATGTGGGTAGAATAGAACTGCACTCTATAGGCCTGTCAAAGCTGTGACTTACTGGAAAAGGATTGCCAAGTCTCTTCTGAAGGACTTCTAGTTGGGTTCAACACTAGGTTTAGGGTTAACCAGTTTAACAACACACCAATTAATTGGCCTAAAAATGTGTTTGGGAGTACAGTGGCTCTGTAGGTAAGCACTGGACTTCTAACTGCAGAGTCAGCAGTTCGAGCTGATTAGCTGCTCCACAGGAGAAACATGAGGCTTTTATAAGCTCCTGGAAAGATTTTAGACTCAGAAGTCTTATATAGGGTTCCAATGAGTTGGAACCAACTTGAAGACACTTAACAACAGCAACAACAAATAATGTATTCAGTGGTTTTAATCTACCTCTTAGTTTGTTGTGTATTTCCCAAGGTCTTAAAAGATTACAGGCAGCCATCTAAGGCAGAACAATTAATCTACATCTGGAGTACAGAGGAAAAGAGAGAGAGCAATAGGAGGACAGAATGAATTATGTAACTAACTGTCCCCAAGAACATCTGCCACATTGTCATGAAACCAGTTGTTGTTGTTGTTAAGTGCCATCTGGTCGGTTCTGACCCTTAGCGACCCTGTATAGGGTTTCCAAGGAGTGACTGGTGAGCTTGAACCGCCGATCTTGCAGTTCAAACGGCTTTGCAGTCTAGCGCATTAACCCACAGCGCCACACCAGGACTCCCAGTAGATCACTGTTATTGTAGAATTGTATATGGAACAGTTTTTCCCTCTGTTGTGTTAACTTTTGCACTATCTGTGTCTTCCCATACCTTCATCATTCTGCCCACCTCCCTCTTGTTGTATATTGTTTTCCCCTTCACCCAAGTGAACATGTGGTTACTCTCTAGCAAGTGAGTTATTCCCCTATCCCTCCCACCCCTGGTAATCATCAATAAATATTTCTTATTTGAAATCCTTTCCTTGACTTTCTAAAACAGTGGTCTCATGCAATATTTGTCATTTTGTGATTGACTAATTTCATTCAGCATGTCTTCCATGTTATGAGGTGTTTCAGAGATTCATCATTATTCATCATGATTATTTTATGTTGGATAGTATGTATGAAGTTTATCTGTTCTTCCACTGATGGGCATTTAGGTTGTCCCTGTTTTTTTGCTACTGTGGCTTGTGCTTTGATGAACACGTGTGTGACTATATCTATTCCTGTTGTGCCTCTTATTCTTAACGGATGTATACCAAGTAGAGGAATTGCTGGGGACTGTGATATTTCTATGTCCAACTTTCTATTTCCGACTAGCGTCTAGCTCTTACAGACTCCATGTGTGTAGGGCAGAACTGCACTGTATAGGGCTGTCAAAGCTGTGAATTGTTGGAAACAGATTGCCATGTCTTTCTTCCGAGGGACGCTAGTTGGGTTTAACACACCATCCTTTCAATTAGGAGTGAACCGCTAGCCATTTGTGCCACCAAAGACTACTAGTGTGCCATATAGAAAGAAACATGTTATAAAAATTTCCAAGTGCCAAAAATACTCAGTATGCCTTTCTTCCATCTAAATGTTTAAAGTAACCTCTATTAGACAGAAGAAATCACAAAGAAATGGTTTCTTCCTTCTCTGTAATTAATTTGTTCTGTATCCAAAGGCCCTGATTACTAATATTAAGATAAGTTTGGAGACTCTTTTGCCATTTCAAATGCTTTCTAGTGCATATTGTTATTATTGTCCTTGTTAATGCCATCAAGTCAGTTCAAACTCCTAGTGACACTGTATAGGGTTTCCAAGGAGAGTTGGTGGGTTTGAACTGCTGAAGTCCAGTGCTTATCCTATAGTGCCACACCGACATTCCTTCTAATGCGTAGGTTTTAAAAATTGTTGCACATAACAATATTTGACACTTTCTTCTACCTGAAATTTACTTTTTTTTTATGTGCTGCATGGAGGAATCAATAAGAAAGATTTATATAATTTCTGGTGTTCATAACGTGTCTTAGGAATTCAAGTATATGAATCAACAAAGTCAAATAGGAGAGATTTAAATACTTTTAACAATCTAATCCATAGGTATTGGACTAAATTTGTTGGGCCCAATCTATCATTCTGAATCATGGGAACTACTGTCTCCTTTTATTTTATATCTTACTATCCAGTTACAAAGTACCATTCAATAATTTAAGCATGTTCTAGGATGGTGTGGAAAAAAATCTTTGTCTTTTTAGTAAAAGAATTTTCAGGATTATAGAATTTTAAGTAGGAAGCCAGTCAAAACTACTCAGAACTCCTTCAGAAAGAAAAATTTAATGAAGAAATGTTTATATATTTCATGAAGGATAATTTATTTCAAATGAATTTACACTATATAGAAAATAGTTCTCCAAATGCAATGAAAACATCAGTCTTCCTGATTTTCTTAAATCAACAGATTGAGTTTCCAGTGAGTTTTATTTTGTTTTTCAGTTATGAAGTTATACGTAAGTTATCACCAAGTAGAATTTTTCCAAGATTTGCAAAATGAAAATAATACCTTGGATATAATCCATCTAATGAATGGTACAGTCCATTTAAAAAGGAATATTGAGGAAGAATTTATCAAAAACAGATTATTTGTTTTTGATAAATTCTTAGGAAATAATGCATTAGCTAACACATGAGTAATTAACCAAGAGTAAAATATTTGGGGAAATCAGAAAAGGCACAGTACCTGGAAAATGTGGAGAAGAATCTTCCCATAATTTAAACCATAGTGTTTGCATTAAATACAGTGGTCTCACTTATCGTATCTTTTAGAGGTCTTGACGAGGTCTACTCCCTCTTTTTCTTCTTTCCTCTCTTGAAAAGCTTTTTATAACTAAACAAGCAACATTTTATGATAACAAAAGTAACGATTGCCACACAAGCCAGTAAAAATCCAATCACATCCAAAGAGTAGTACTGGTACCAAGTGAGATCATGGGAAGCTGGTCGAAGGTGTTTGGCTCCTTTGTGGCGCATGATAAACTCAATCCAGAAGACAGCTCGATCCAGGGGCTTAACAGGCTGATCATGATGAATGGCAGATAACCTCATAGCATTCTCTTTATAGCTGGAGGAAAATAAAAAAGAACAATGAAGAGAATAAACCAGAAAAGATAAATATATTAAAATTTCATGCAGATGGTAAAAATGAATGTCAAATTAAGAGTAGAAGAATAATATATTAGTTTCCTCTGAGATAATGATAGCGATTTTAGTTTACAGACTAGAATGTGCTTAATGCATAGGATTTCAAGATGTAAAGACATATTGAAGTTGGGATAGGACATGTATTTTTAGGACAAAATGGAATGAGCCATGTCCTACAGACAGAAAAAAACCCCATCATTTGCATGTACAATTAAAAAATTAATAAGAATTGTTAATGGATCTGATATACTATCTAGCAGTAGGAGGCAAGTTCATGATGAGGTTCAGGGACATGTCCAGGCTGGTCAGCAGTTTGATTTGGTCAGAACTTGGTATTGGCCTTTTGCCCATGATTTAATAAAAGTGTGAAGTTGGATTGTCTTGGTTTGAATCCTGAGTTTGACACCTACTTGCTCCTTGCTTTTTGCAAATGTTTTATTCTCTTTGCCTCAATCGTCTCTTTGTTACAATGGAATAGAGGGTGATGGTGCCCTTTTATATGATTATTATGAGGAGTAATGAATTGAGCCTTTGAGTATTTAGAATCATTGTAGTAACAGACATTCAGTAGATGTTTGTTATTATTATTGATGCTTAGTTTTGCTATTTTAGAATTTGGCTAGTGCTTAATATTTCACTTTGAGGCATTGTATTTTTTTTTTTCCTGTTGAAAATGATATGATCAAGGAAAAAGAGTGAATAAAGGCATATGGCTTATGATCTCAGAATCCCAAAGTGCCAGACTGTAGCACTGAAGCAATAGCAGTAATTTAATTGCACTGTAATTTAAAAAGCTTAGTGGGAGAGCTAGGTTTTTGAGAGGATGATACTAATCCTGAAGCATTTTTGCAAAATAATACAGAAAGAATGTAATGAAGGAATCACTTAATATAAGCAAGAACTTTATACAATATCTAGTATATATATATATAAGTGTTCAATGATAAGAGCCTTCAAGTCAGTTTTGACTCATAGCAACCCTGTTTCTGAGGCTGGAAAGCCTCATCTTTTTCCTGATTCATTCAATATGTATCAACTACTGATCATCATTTTTCAACACTACTTTTATTAAAATTAAAAGGCATATGAAAACATCTATACATACTAGAGATACATACTTTTACATGGGCTCACCAAATGAAAGGTATATTCCTTCTCAAATAATGAAAAGTAAAATATGCTTTACATTCTAATAATTTAGAACACAGTAACTGTACTAAAAATAGCATCGCATTTAAAATGCAAATGGTTACTGCTCTGTTATTATAAATACGTTCTCAAATACAATGTTTTATTTCCTCTTAATGCGCCAGACTGCAAAGCTGTTTGAACTACAAAGTTGGTTCAAGCTCACCAGCTGCTTCTTGGAAACCCTATACAGGGTTGCTATGGGTGGGAACCAACTTGATGGCACTTAACAACATAGTCATTATGAATCAAAAGGGGAGGACTTTTGTTTACTGCCCAGCTTGCACATGTATAATACATACATAAAATTAATGTATGTCTTGAGAGAATTTGAATACTAAATGTATTAGTTTCAGAAAATTTGACTTGATATTTAACAAAGGGTCAAAGTTCATTAAATGGAGATAACCTTTTTAAAAAACAGTACTGGCAAGATGAGTATCCATATGCAGCAAAATGAAACAATCCATTTCTCATACCAAATGTAAAAACTAAATAAAAACGGACCAAAGTCCTAAATATAAAACCTAAAACCCTAAAATTCATGGAAGAAAACAGGGATGAAGCTAGGGGCTCTAATATATGGCATAAATAGATTATCAAATATAACTAAAATGCACAAACAACAAATTATAAATTATATGATTGTACTTCCTAAAATTAAGGAGCTCTGGTAGCGTAGTGGTTACGAATCAGGCTGCGAACTGCAAAGTCAGCAGCTTGAACTACCAGCTGTTTTGCGGGAGAAAGATGAGGCTTTTTGCTCCGGTAAAAATTTTCAGCCTTGGAAACCCTGTACAGGGTCGCTATGGGTCGGAACCGACGACGATGGCACTTAACAACAACAACTTTCTAAAATTAAATACTGATGCTCATCAAAAGATTTCACTAAAAGAGTAAAAGGAGAGCCTACAAACTTGGGAAAATTTTTGGCAATGACACAGTCAGTGGACAAGGACCTACTCTTTAAAATTGACAGAAAGCTTTGACATCACCACAAGAAAAAGACAGACAATCCAATTTAAAAATGGGCAAAGGACACAAACACACATCATAAAATCAGACGGGCAGGCAGCTAACAGACATGAAAAGAAGCTCATGATCATTAACTAACTATTCGAGAGATGCAAATCAAAACTACAAGGAGATACCATCACACCCTGTCAATAATGATACTGATCAAAAACCAGAATAACAAATGCAGGTGAGATTATGGGAAGATTGAACTCTTATATACTGCCAGGGGGACTTCAAGATGATGGTACACTACCATCGAAAATAGCATGGCACTTCCTTAAAAAAACTAGACTTGTGGCCCAACTTTCAGCCAAGTAATAGGTACGTATATAGGGGAAGCAACACTAAAAACATATGCTCACTATGAATTATGGAATGGCCAATCATTCAAATACCAAAGGGGCAACATGTTCCTAAGGACAAAGGTGAGAAGGGATGAGAAGGTGGGTGAAGTGGATATAAGAGCCACAGGGAGGAAGTGTGATAACTTGTTCCATGGAGGGGATTGTAATCCTTGAGATGAAACAAAGTATATTATTTGTTGAATGTAAAACTGATGATCTTGTTTGTATACCTACTCTCATTTCACAATTGAAAAAAGATAAAAAAACCGAAACTGGAAATCAGAATATTCCATTCATAGATATATGTCCTAGAGAAGAAAAAGCTGTGACACAAGTAGATATGTGCACACCCAATCCATCCCAGCCCTAGTCGCAATAACAAGAAGATGGGAAAAACGTAAGTGATGATCAATAGATGAACGAATAAACAAACTGTGGTACATAATATATAATGAAATGCTACTTAAGATTAATGAAAGACACTTAAGATTAGCAATGAATCCATGAAACACCTCAAGAATAGGTTTACAAACAGAAACATCCTTTGATGCTTACCAGGGATATGAGGAGATATGAGGAGAAATCACAAAGTATTTCGGACACAAGTGTTAATTATGGAGAAAAGAAAGGCAATACACAATCTGGGGGAAGTCGGTACAACATGACCAAGGCAAAGGAAGACACAGTGAGATGGAACAATAAAGGACAACTACAATAAATATACCATCTACGACTCTGAAGCAATAGTAATACCAAACAATAATTTGTGAGTGATGTTATTGTTAGGTACCATTGAGTTGTTTCTGACTTATAGTGACACTATGTACAATGGAACGAAAAACTTCTGGGTCCGGTGCCATCTTCACAATTGTTGCTGTGCTTGAGCCCATTGTTGTAGTCACTAGGTCTTTCCATCAGAGGGTTTTCCTCTTTTTTTAATGACCCTCTACTTTACAAGCATGATTCCCTCCTTCAGGGACTTGTCCCTCCTGATGACATGTCCAAAATGTGCTTCAGATGAGTTCTTATAATCCTTGCTTCTAAGGAACATTCTGATTGTACTTTTTCTAAAACAAATTTGCTTATTCTTTTGGCAGTCCATCATATAGTCAATATTCTTTTCCAGTACCGTAGCTCAGAGGCATTAATTCTTCAGTCTTCCCTGTTTATTTTTCAGCTTTCAAATGTATACAAAGTGACTGAAAATACCATGATCATGCATCCAAATAAAAAATTCTGACAACTTTAATTATTTATCATGATGTTGTTTATTGGTTCAGTTGCTAGAATTTTTATTTATGTTGAAGTATCATCTATACTGAAAGCTGTATGTAGTCTGATCTTCATCAGTAAATGCTTCAAGTTTTCTTTGTTTCAGTAAACAAGGTTGTGTTATCAGCATATTTCTAGTTATTAAGGAGTCTACCTCCAGTCCTGATGTTATCTTCTTCATATGTATCTTTGATTATTTGCTCAGAATGTAGATTGAATTGTTCTGGTCAGTGGATACAACACTGATGCATATCTTTCTCAATTTTAAACCATACAGTTTAAAATTGTTCTATTTGAATGAGTCATGCCTCTTGGCTTATGCACAGATTCGAAATGAGTACAATTAAGGGTTCTGGACTTCCCATTCATCACATGTTACCCATATAACTGTTTTTGAGTTGTATATGATATTGGTGATATTGTTCTATAATTTTCACCTTCTGTTGAGCCACATTTCTTTGGAATGGGCACAAATATGGATCATGTCCAATTGGTTGGCCAGGTAGATGTCTTCCAAATTTTTGGCATAGATGAGTGACTGTTTCCAACATTACACATTACATCTATTTTTTTCTTTTCTTTTTGAAGCATCTTAATTGGTATTCCATCAATTCCTGGAAACTTGCTTTTCATCATTTTTTTATTTTTTGGTAAAGTGATTATATTTCCTCCATCCTATTTTGATTAATATTTTGCACTGTTGTTATTGTTGCTACTATCAAGTCAGTTCCAATACAAAGGCATCAATTCTTCTTTATTCTTCCATATTCATTGTCCAGCTTTCCCATGCATATTGTTGTTGTTGTTGTTATGTGCTGTGGAGTCGGTTCTGACTCATAGGAACCCTGTGCAGGGTTTCCGAGGCTGTAAATCTTTACGAGAGCAGAAAGCCTCATCTTTTTCCCACGGAACAGCTGGTAGTTTGGAACTGCTAACCATGAGATTCGCAGCCCAATTTGTAACCACTGCACCAGAGCTCCTTGCATATTAGGTAACTGAAAATGCCATAGCTTGGGTAAGGTACACCTTAGTTTTCAAAGTGACATATTTTCTTTTTAATACTTTAAAGAGAAATTTTACAGCAGATTTGTCCAATGCAATACATCCTTTAATTTCATGACTGCTGCTTCCATGGACGTTGAATGAGAATCCAAGTAATGACAACCTCAATCTTTTTGTTTATCATGCTATTGTTTATTGGTCTAGTTATAAGGATATTTTATATCCTTTATATTGAGGCATAATCCATATTGAATTCTATTGCCTTTACTCTTCATCAGTAAGTGCTTCAAGTCCTCTTTGCTTTCTGAAAGCAAGATTGTGTTATCTGCATATCATAGATTGTTAATGAAGCTTTATCTAATCCTGTTGCCATGATTTTATATAGCCCAGCTTCGCTAATTGTTTGCTCAGCATACAGACTGAATAAAGTGTAGTCAATTAATGCAACACTGATACACACCTTCCCTGATTTTAAATCATGTACTTTCTCCTTGTTTTGTTTGAAAGATTGCCTATAAAATAATCCAATATTATAACTCAAAGCGTGATTTTCCCCCCCAGTTTTTTCAGTTTGATAAATGTTGAGCGTTTTTCCCTTTGTGATTAAATACATAGAAAATATGTATGCCAAATAGGTGAGGAAATTTGTAAGGGTGTATAGGGTATGGTTGTAATTCTGGTGTGGCACTGTGGGTTAATGTGTTGGACTGCAAAGTTGGTTTATCCACAAGGTCAGTGGATCAAGCACACCAGCCACTCCTAGGGAATCCTATACAGGGTTGCTGTGGGTCAGAACTGATTTAACAGCACATTAACAACAACAACAACAACATAGGAATAGTTGTGGATAGTTTTACATACAAGTTTGTAAATGCTGCATGCATACTCTATATCTATAGATGTATGTAGGGATAATTGGGACTTTACTACTGGATTTGAAGGTAAGGACTAAGTGCACAGTTATGTTGGCAAATACAGTTAATAAATGCAATGTTCTACATCCTAATTTTGTGAGAAATGTCTGGGGTCTCAAAAGTTTGCATGTGGCCAACTTAAAGCAATTATTGGTCAATTCCTGCTTGGAGCAAAGGAGAATGAAGAAAGTCTAAAACTTGAGGAAATAATTCATTTCAAGGACCAATGGCTTTCATGAACCACAACCTTCTCTGACTTGAGACCTGTAGAACTAGATGGCATCCAGATACTTCTACCAACCACTCTGACCAGGACCACAATAAAAGGGTTAAAAAATGTAGAACAAAATTCAAATTAAAGAAAGAAAAAAGGCCAATCTTACTAGTCTGAGAGACTAGAGGAATGCCTTAGACTATCACCCTAATACAACCTTCTAAATTGAAACTGAAGACACTTCCAGAGGCCACCTTTCTACCAATTAATAGATAGACCTATAAAATAAATAATAACACTGAGGAAAAATATGCTCCTTATAACAATCAACTATATGAAGCCAAACAAGCAACATTTGTCCAAACCAAGATGAGAAGGTAGGAAGGGACAGAGAAACCCGATGAAAGGAAGCCCAGAACCTAGAGCAGAAAAGGAGAGAGTACTGACACCTTGTAGGAATTACAACCAATACCATGGAACAATTTATGTATGAATTGGAGTAGCTAATTTGTTACGCAAGCTTTTACCTAAAACACTGTAAAAGTGCTCCAAAAAAATTTTTTTTAACTTAATAGAACCATTCCAAAATATACTTTCCAAGTCAATCACTTTTTAATTTTACAAATATTACAAATAAGACAATAACAATCTCAACGAAAAGAACAAAGATTTTGCATACATTT